TGTGTGTGTGTGTGTGTGTGTGTGTGTGTGTGTGTGTGTGTGTGTGTTTGGGGGGGGGGGGAGGAGCTGCAGACTCCAGAAGAGTTCTGTTCAGAGCTGCTCATCTTGGAGAACTAACAGGCGTATATCCATGCTGTTCTCTGTCGGTACATAAACGTTTCAGCCGTTTTTAATCCTGGTGCCCTGTGGATGTACGTCTACAACTTGCTTTGTGGATGCGTGTGCATGAGTTGTTGATAACTTGTTGATATCTGCAAGAGTGGCTTGTCCGCTTACATCCCGGTGAATCTCGTTCACTCTCGTGGTTGTGAAACAACATGGGTGCAGGTAAATTCTGCAAGCGAGGGCCAAGGCACTTCTGTCCCAACGCCCCCCAGCAGTGCTACCGCGCATACAATGACCCCTGTGAATGCAGAAGGGGACAAGTTGGAGCCAAGCAAAGACACGCGAAGGTCGTCGGGCGACTCGTTGCCATCCAGCTCTGTTTACCAACAAAGTTCCTTAGTGGAATCGAACTCTTACGGCAGTCTCCACTACAACAGCTCTTATAACGACTTCTCGATAGGAGGGTCATCGAACGACTTGCTCTACAACGGGGAGCTTTCAAGATCAGCCAGCGATGAGACAGGTGGGTATTCGTCAGAGACGAAAAAGTGTCTAGAAATACTTGAACGGGCGATTGCGCTAACCAAGGGAAAGACGAAGAACATGGCCAACGGATCACGGTCAAGCTCCCTTAACGGAAGTAGCAGAGCAATGTCGAATGGGGGAATCTCTTTTGACAGAGGCTCAAGCAGTTACTCGAAGTTGTCTTCGACCAGGCAGCCAGGAAGTAGTTCGGCCTCTGTGTCGTCGAAACAAGACGAGCCATACGGCGTGGACTATTACATCTCTGTGATTGACCAGGCCATTGCAGTGCTGAAGGGCTCTAGATAGTATCGCTCTCAGATTTCAAACATCTGTCTCTGTCCTAGTTGTCACCCGGGGCGCATACACGTGTGTATAGAAATTATATGCAAACCAACGGACCGGCCCGCTTCTGCAGGAGGCGAACTTTCCCCCTTCTTGCTCCGTCATCTTTTGCGGAGCTGCGTCGTTCTCTGCCTCTCCCAGAAGGAAATCTCTGCGGTGCGTTGTCCTGTGCTCACCTGGCACGACTTCCTGTTTGTGACATCGTCTCGTTCGCCTTGTCAATCAGGATGGGGGAGGCTGAGATGTTCAGGTGGCCAGAGTGTCCTGTGATCAGCAAAGAGGAGATGAAGGGAGGGGAGAGGAGGGGAGGGGAGAGGGGAGGGGAGGAGGAGAGCAGGCGTAGAGAACGGTGGAGAAGAGGAGAGGAGAGGGGCCAGAAGGGCACTGAGAAAAGGCGTTCGTTGCAAGGAATTACCATCTACAGTTTTCCGTCAATGCTTGAGAATGTAGTTTTTCAGCTGTGCGCTCTCGTTCTTTTCGTAAGGTCGTCCCTTGGTTCTAGATTGTGGAGTTTTGGAGAGAACGGTTAATTTGCAGCTGGGAAGGGGAGGAGGAGAGCAGGCGAAGAGAACGGTTGATTTGCAGCTGTCAATGCATAGCCCTCTCAGTTGTGTGCTATGCAGAGGGACGCACATAGGACAGGGTCTTACCTGCTCCTCAGTGTCCCTTGTGTTTTGGAGTCTTGGTTCTCTCAGCTGCTGGACGCCTTAGCTTTTTCAGTCGTTCTCTCTGCTGTTATGGAAATGCACCTGGTCCAGTTTATGAGATGGAGGGAACAGAATACGTGAGAGGTGGTGTGAAATGCAAGACAACGGTTGGTCTGTCATTACTGTTGCAAATCAACGGCCCGCAGTCTATATTCGAAATGCCTTGTCGTTGAGCGAGCGTGTAAGCTTTGCTTCTTCAGGAAGGCCTCTGCTCTGTCATTTGTCCTCTTGAACGATCAGATTATTTTGTGATGGTGTCTATATGGCAGCTGTGGATATGAGGGTGCCAAATGTGAGGAGGAGGAGCTGTATGGACACTGAAGAGGAGGAGAAGCTCTACCACATCCTTGGAAACGTGGTCAGGGAAACTGCCTTCTTCCTGTCCTTGTATCTGTATTTGGCCTGAAAGGTGCACTAAATACACCGGTCTAATTGACCAGGTGCTGCATTCAGGGGAATAAGCTATCCGTAACTGCCTTACAGAAGAACACGACCTGCACGGAAAACGCTATGTCATGGTTTGAACGGGATCGACACTCGACACACAAGCTGACTGAAGCTCAATTCTCTTGGCTTTTGCGATTGATTGAATAGAGACCCGTTAGCCTGAAATGTTTCCTGCTGGGGAACAATGGTGCGCCTCAGTTTGCTGTATTTGGGGGCAACTTCCAGACCAGACGCAGCGATAATGACCGGGCGTCTACTTCGGGTGAAGACGGTAGTCAATCAATCAACCGCATTCAGGAAGAGTTAGCAAACTGGAAGTAGTATCTTCCGATTAACACACGGACGAAGCGACTTTTTTTTCTCTTTTTTTCTCTTTTTTTCTCTTTTTTTCTCTTTTTTCCCCTGTCACTGCTGTCAGTCCTGTTATTATTGGCAAAGGCTGGTTTTGGACGTAATATATCTTCAGATTAACAAACTGTAAAGCTTTCTTTTTTCTTTACTGGCCACCGAGCACAGTTTTCGGCAGAGGCTGGTTTTGGACGTGCACGTGCTGATTTCATCCGTTACTTGATCCGGTAGTGAGAAGGCGCCGGAAAGTTGCAGTTCACCGTTGAGGAAAGCAGATTTGCTCCCTCCCTCCTGCCGCATCACTATAAACCTGTGAGGTCGGAAACAACTGTTATAGCGGTGTGTTGTCACACTGTTGTGCCCATCTTCCTGCTTTTTATCCAGTAGTGGGCAACGACGAGGAGGAAAGCAGATTTGACCCCTCCCTCCTGCCACAGTTGATATCCTTGTCTTGTCCACGGGCAGACAGCGCTGCTGCAAGGGTTAGTCGAACTTAGTATCACGCCCTGCGGTTGCAAACATCGAGTGGTGACTTTGCGCGAGCTTCTGCAGTCCAACTGGTCTGTTCTCTCTCAGCGACTTCTGCGACCAACGGGTAAATCCAATTGGTTTCTGGAGCTGGAGCCTTCTCTCACCAGTCGACGATGCTTCTGGTAGCGCTCGCCGCTCGGTACCACGGAACATGAGTGGCGCTTAACAGCTCTGAAGAGCTCAACGTCATGTGGCACTTCTCGCTTTCTGCCGTCTCCCAGGTGGATTTATGGCGATGGAAGAAGGTGGTCGAGGGGCAGCGGGTGGAATGCGCCAGTCACTTTATTGGATATGGTGGGTGTTGCTGGAAAGAGGGTACAATCCCGATTGCTCGGCGTCACGATGCATGCTTGTGGTAGTGCTCGGTATCACGGAACGTGAGTGGCGCTTAACAGCTCTGAAGAGCTCAATGTCATGTGTCACTTCTCCCTTTCTGCCGTCTCACAGGTGGATTTATGGCGATGGAAGAACGTGGTCGAGGGGCAGCGGGTAGAACGCGCCAGCCACTTCAGTGGATATGGTGGATGTTGCTGGAAAGAGGGTACAATTCTGATTGCTCAGCCTCACCGTGCATGCTTGTGCTGGACTGGATGTGACCTGTTGGCCGCCCATCGATCATCCCAAAGGGGTATGATTTAGGGGGGGCAAATATTTGAAGGCAGAAACTGGTAGCTTGGTTTTTTTTCTAGGGTTCTTTTTTTTTCAGATTCTCTTTTTGGATTATTTCAAATGACTTCTCTGTCGATCATGACCTTCTGCTAGGGAGAGTCAACGGCACTAACCAGGGTACCTAACCCTCGTTAGCGGGCTAAATCACCCTTAACCCTTCGTTTGCTAACCCTCACCCCCTTGGCCGTCGTATGTTTTACGGTAATTGTCCCGTCCTCCCCCTTCCCCCCCCCCCCCCCCCGCCTCCCCCCGCCTCCCCTTTTTAGTATGGGTGGGCATAACCACGATGCTGAGTCACAGTCAGTGCAACATCAGAAACGGACCCGTTGGTATGGTTTTTTTATTCACAGAAGAACTTCTCTTCCGTCTTCCATCCCCTCTCCTATTATTTGTTTGGACTGTAACACATTAATTGTTGATGGACGGCTTAAGGAGGATTCCTTTGAACGACACACCTCTCCCCTAAGTCCGCTTCCCCATGTGGCCTATCAACAATTCCCTCTCGTCAAACCCCCTTCCCACCTCTATGTGCGTCAGCAGGACACTCCAGCAGTCTCATTCCAGTTTGCCACTACTGTCTGCATGTGAATGAAATGTCTGGTCATTATAGCCGTATCTGGCCCAATGTCCAGTCTATATACAGCAATAATGACAGGGCGTTGTATTCTGGTGACGACGGTAGTTTCACACGGTCACAATCCATACGAACATAATTTCTATCCCAAATTCCCAATCACATCTGCATAAGAGATGAAGCAGAGCACCCTGCCATTGCGAGCCCTGGAAACCCTGTTATTGTGAGCATCCTGCTATTGCAAGCACCCTGCTATTGTGAGCACCCTGCTATTGCAAGCACCCTGCTATTATTGTGAGCACCCTGCTATTTGCAAGCGCCCTGCTATTGCGAGCCCCGACAAACATGGAAGCCGTGCTATTGCGAGCCCCGACAAACATGGAAGCCGTGCTATTGCGAGCCCCGACAAACATGGAAGCTATGGGTTCACCTAACTGGCAGATTAGCCTCATGCAGTCCCCGCTGCATGGCCCCACGCCTCCCATACCCGTCGCTACGATGTCTATAGCTCAAACTTCAAAGACGCCCCCCCCATCCCCGTCCCAAGGATTCAAGCAATTACAATCCTGACCCATAACCCTATGGTTGTTGCTCTATGAACCGCCCCCCATCCCCCTCCCTCGTTACCTTCGAGGTGGCGGGGGGGTGCTTGCAAACGTGAGAGGCTGGCAAGGCTTTGGTGTGTTGCATCCCACTTTTTTGTACAGATAATGACGGGTAAGTTGGTCGGGTCTAATAGCAGGACGGGTTGCTACGCCTTTTGCATGGTGGCATAGGTAGGAAGAGCACAGCTCAATTCTGAAGAGCAGAGTCTGAAGAGTCTCTCGTCTGTGCTGCCAATGATATGCTAAAAATTGTACATGGCAGGTGGCTCGGGCTCTTCCAGCCCTAATCTTGAAGACAGCTCATTAGGTTCCAATCTTGACGAGTTAGGGATGAGGTAGGGATGAGTTAGGGATGAGGTAGGGACGAGTCGGGGTGAGGGATGAGGTAGGGATGATGGGGACGAGTTAGGGTTAGGGATGAGTTAGTTTTTCAAACGAGTTTGAGACAACCGACAACAACCGACTAGTGTTTGTACTGAGCGTTTAACGATAAAGAGTCTGAGGAGCCAGGACCTGGTAGTTAACTGGAAGCGTTAGGGCGTACATTTTACTTTTTTTATTTTATTTTTCCGCCATGAACTCCCAGCCCCTTCTATTCTGGGGAGCATCAGTCCGGTTGCTCGTCACCGGCAAGCAAAGTTTTTGGAACAATTTGTAACAAGCAGAGGGGGAGATCAGACAGAGGGGGGGGGGGGGGGGGGGGGGGGGGGGGGGGGGGGGGGGGGGGGGGGGGGGGGGGGAAAAAGAACAGACAGAAAAGAGAGACAGCCCACCCTTGTGGCTCGAGCCGCCTGTTCAAGGGGGGATTGCTACAGCGCCATCCACTCCCCGCCCATCAGCCTATCCTTGGGGGTTATCCCGCAAGTGGCGAAGCTTGCTAGCAGCACCCAGCCACACTGCAGGATAACCCCCCAAGGGGTCAAGGCATGGCGGGGATGGACGCCCTGTCAGCCCCTCCAGGCCGCATGTTACTTGCTGCACTCATTCCCACCATGTCTACCTCGGCCCCACATTTCCTCCACCGTGTATCCCCATGACATCAGCTTCCCTACATCCTACCAGCGTCTTACCTGTCCTACATCTTCTACCTTCCGGTTTTCCTACCCTTACTCCCTACTCCCTGCTAAGGGTTATAGCCTATCTATACCCATGTTACCCCCCATTACCTTAAATCCTTCAGTACACGTGTCTACCTGATTAACATGATCTGTCCCCAACATTTTCATTTTTCTCTCCTTTTCTTTTGCTTTCTTTTAGTATCGGTTATACAACTGATGAGAACAGGTTCTACACTCGATCTTATGCACCCAACAGCTCGAGCAAGGTATATGAATACACATGCTTGAGACCAATCGACATGTGGATTGCACATGTAATACGCTCTCTGCTGAGGATAATGCACGTTAAATATGACTATAGGAAGATAGATTTGATAGATTTGATAGATCTGATAGATTCACTATGGGGATGTGTTGTGTGCAGGGGCTGGTAGTAGAATAGTGGGGAGCAACAAGACCCTTGAGAAGTGCAAGCTTGTACGGAGCCAAGTTGGATGAACAGCGCATATATCTATGGGCGGTCTTGATCTGTGTGGCCCTGGACGGCTTTGCTCAGGTGACAGAATTTGCATGGGCGTCGAGGGCTGAGAATGATTGATTGGTCTCTTCCGACACCAGGATTCGCCGGAGGATCAGGATTTTTTATTTATTTATTTTTTGGACCATTTCTTGATTAATGTGTGTCATCCTTGTGCAGGGGCCTTGCTTATCTTCTCTGTATCATTCCATATTTCATAGCCAGCTAACTGCAGCCATCCTGCCAGTGTGTATGTTCTGCAAGTTTGTTGCTTGCAGCAACGCTGTCTCTGTTAATTACGGGTGAAGACCCGAATAGAACGCCCGGTCATTATAGCCGTATTTGGGGCAAATTCCAGACCAGATGCAGCGATAATGACCAGGCGTTTAATTCAGGCGAAGACGGTCGTCCCTCTCTATAGGAAGAAAGGTGCAGGCAAATTCTCAACACTAATGGACAACTGCATGTGGAGCAACAGCCGCCGCGCTGTCGTCATGTAAGCTCGTCAGACATCATGCCGCTGCGCTGCATTTTGGGATTCTCGTTGTCAGTCTATGTATAGCTTGTTGAAACTCTCATTTGCCACACTCGGTTATCGCACCCGGCTCGTGCGGCTGAAGGTTACAAGCATAGAACTGTTGGTAAACAGATCATAAGCTCAAGTCCTGATGGAATTAGAAGGATGCACTTACGCTGCACCAACCCGTTTGCAGTGCTCTTGGCTATCGGCCTGCAGTAGAGTGTTAGAACTACGTTTCTCGGCGTTTCACGCGTTGGAAGATGTGAATCGCAAATGAAAAATGCTACCCTGTTCTGAGCGCCCCCCCCCCCCCCCCGATTGTCTGGAGCCCGAAAACAAAAGGTGGGCGGTGCGGCCTTCGCAAAGTTGATCCAGAACTATTTTTCCTCTGTGATGTGTGCAACCAAAAGTGGCAGCAAGGGAACCCACAAGAATGCCAAAAAAAGTCAGGGGGGGGGGAAGAAAAAAAAAGCAAAAAAAAAACGTTAAAAAAGAAACAGCGTCGTTTGTGATGTGTAACTTCACATGGCATGTTTCTTCTGCACTGTACAGGGTTTGCACGGTAAACCACCCGTTCGCGTCCGAGCCTCTTTTTTCGGATGGGCTGTGCTGCGGAGCCCTAAGGAAGTTGAGTTGTTGAGGGCGAGATATGGCCAGCCTTTTCCCTCCCGCAGATCTGGAGGGTGATTTTCAGGCTCGTTAACCGGAGCACGGGAGCATAAGAGGAATGTTGCAGTACAACCTAGGCAAGGTTCCACTTTGCTCGGATTCTCTGCCGTCGAGGATGTTTGACCCATTGATCCTTGTAAAAAATCTGTCGCCCAGAAGGAAGAATTCGAGGAAGTATTTTTGGGACCTCACCGCTGATGTTGTTGTCCGTTACGGCCGGTGAAACGCAACAATGGGTAGTATTTTTGGGACCGGCTTTGGCCCACCGTTGATCCCAATGATGACAGCATCTTGAAGCCGTGCCCGCACAAAGTTACTTATCCACGGAGCCATTCGGTTAAGACCCGCAAGAGCGAAGTTCATCCATGTCGCTGACATGCGAATGAGCTCAAGACATGGAGATGAAGTGAACCGAGCGCAAGACGCAGGAGCGAACCGAGAGCAGGAGGGAGCCGTGAAACGGAGAGCAGCAGGCAAACTCATAGCAGTGTGCCGAACTGAGAACAGGAGGTTAACTCGGACTTTGGAATGTTCAAACCCGCATGTCGCAGGTTGCACGTAGAGAAGGACATTTGGCAAACACTTGGTCTTTGAGGGACATCTGCAAAAAATGTCGTATCTTTCAGGGGCACGTGTAAGGTAGCAATCGTAGCGAGAATGAAAGAACCAGCCAATCATACTGGTTCAACTTGGATGAGCACTTTGGGAATTAGATTTGGCGCGATGCGTTAGATGCACGCACGGCCTTCAGATAGATAGACGATCATCGAAGGCATATGCGGGGCAAAGTCCCACTCGCGCAAATTCTGCATTCCTGGGCATTGCTCCACTAACGCTGAT